CGTGCGACCTCTACTACTGTAAGGTCGCACGACTTTAAACTTACGGACATGTTCGAAAACCCGCCGAGCATCGTACGATGTTCGGCGGGTTTGTGGCATGTCCGTACGATAACAGCCGCACGGGCCGGTGTGCGCAAGCGCACACTGCCCGTTCGGCATTGCGGTCATCGGAAAAAGTCTTGCGCTGGTTGTAAGGTGTGTGCCCAGCCTAAGTCTCTGTAAACTGTTTATTTTTCTTATTTGAGGTAGGGATCTCTTGTAACACTAGTTAGACCCCGTTCACACTGGGCGTTTTATTGCACGATTTCCGCCGCAATATCGCAAGAAGTCGCCGTCCAATGATATTCAATGGAGCTGTTCTATTGAACAGCTCCATGTCGCTCGTCACGGTCGCGGGTCGCTTGTGCGGGACCCTTTTTCCCACGGATGTCGCGCAATTTTAATTTTTTTGCATGCAGCCCGACGGTGAAGGTCGCGCGATCGTCGCTGGAGCGTCGCCCCGAACAGTCACGCTATCCCGGCCGTGCGGATCCGCTTGCAAGGTATGTCACTGAGTGTATCGCAAATCGCGCGATTGTCATCTTGCGCAATATCACACGGCATTGTCATTTTGCGCGATATCTCGCGGTTTGGGAAGAGTAGAAAAGCGCAGAAATCCACGCCAAAAAGGGTCCTGTTCTAGCGGCACGCGACAGCAACGAACACAGCCCCATTGACATGCATTGGAGAGCGATATTGCGCAGTAAATATGCGCGATATCGCGCGGAAATAATACGCTCAGTGTAGACCCCGTTCACACTGAGCGATTTTGCAGCTGAAATATCAGCTCAATGTCGCTCTATGTAGCTCGTCCAATGCATTTCAATGGAGCTGTTCACATCTCGCAGCTCAATGTCGCCTGTAGATCGTCGCTCGAACACAACCTATTTTTCCGGTGGATTTTGTGCGATTTGGCCCCAATAGACTTTAATGGTGTAGCTCAATGTCGCGCTACGGCACACTACAGAAGCGTCACTTTTGCACAGAAATATAAGAAGGAAGGAATGATGTCGCGTCATGACTGCTTTCGATTGGTTACAGCCCAATGTAGCAGCTACAAAGTCCCTGCGAAAAGTCGCGCTACGAAATGTGCACTGTGGCTCAATGTCGCTCAGCTCAAAGTCGCTCTGATGTAGCTCAGTGTGAATGGGGTCTTATACTCTTCATTTCTATGTATAATTTGTATGTGTTATGCTTAGGTTGGGGATTTTGTTATTTGTGTAATCACAGTGTCAGTAAGGGGTTAATGTTTTTGGAATGAAGTGATATCCGGTTTGGCTAATTATTTAAGGAGTAAACCTCTGCCATAGTTATGGATGCAACTTGCTGATGGCGGGGGGCTGTGGGTATGGATATGAAGTTGACCTGCTGCCAAATGATTTTGTAATATAACAAATTGTTCTACAATAAAGTAAGTAAGTAAGTGCGGCAACTTGTACGGTAGTTCTTATTCTTCCCTACATTGGGATGCAGCACCACAGCCGTGCTCAGGTCCCATTCAAGCCAATAGACTCGGGTTATAAAGCTTACCAACCACCAGGATAAGGAGACTGATTTTAAGGGCTTGTTCACACGACGTCCGGATTGTGTCTGGACCAGAACCCTGCGCTCCTGCACCCAAAATACATCCCAATGTATCCCTATGCGTTTTGTGGGCTACAGTTCTCACGTGCAGGGGCGTCCCGAGGCTGGGTGAAACCCGGAGCGGTAACCGAGTTTCACCCCGCGTCATCGCGCACGCGCGGCAGTATTCTGATACCTGCCGGCGGCCATCTTGGTGATGGACGCCGGCAGAGAGAGGAGGGGACAGTCACCCGGCGGGATAAGGAATGCCGCCGGGTCCATGACCGAGCGCCCGACTTTTAAGAGGCGGATGACACCAAAATGACTGTGAGTCATTTTGGTGTCACCCCTCCGATGGTGTCACCCGGGTACGGCCCGCACCCCCTTGTGACGCCACTGCTCACGTGCGCAGTCCGTCTCGGTCCGGACAGAGAAAATACTGCATGTCACATTTTGTCCAGTCCGTTTTGCAACACATGTGCCGCGTTTTTCGCTTCCGTGCTGTGCGTCTTTTAATGCACGCAAATGTGGAGCAGAAACGCGCGTCTTCCTGTCCACATTGGGGACGCCATTAACAAATGAGCCTGGATGCTGCGTGAGCCCACACACTCACAGATGTGCTACTGGAATAGATACTCAGCGGAGATCCCGGACAGACCCCCATCAATCACTATAGGAAGGGGGATGGGGGGGGCAGTTTTTTTTATGAGAAGTCACTTTCTACAAAGGCTGAAGATGAGTCATTGTGATAAATCCTCAGCGTGTTTCCGGATTGCAATATTGCAAAAAAAATAAAAAATAAAGACAAATAAGTAGTTGGGGAATTTTTATAGTTTTCTCTGCCCTTCCCCCCAACCCTGATTGTAAATGGAGGGGGGCACTGCTGTCCCTATAGAGGAGGAAGGGGTGGGGCCATCTCCAGAAATGAAAATGAAACTTCAGCCGGGTCAATAAATAGAGAGGAGCAGAGATGAGAGAAGATCAGAATACAGAGGAGCACAGGAGAGTACAGAGGAGCACAGGAGAGTACAGAGGAGCACAGGAGAGTACAGAGGAGCACAGGACACAGAGTGGGGTAGACTCTTATCACAGCTGTGTTACATTGTATCCTCATCCTCCTCCAACCACCAACCATGGATACTCTGCACTCCAAGATCCTCATCATCCTCATCCTAGGAGCCGTGCTGGCCATCTGCCAGGGTAAGGGGAG